AAAAAAAAACGTGTTAAAAGATTTCAAATGATTGTTGTTCTCTTAATGTCCTTTCAAACGCACATGATGTGGTCTTCCCTCGAACCGCTACCAAATGGAGTATATAGAGCGGATTTCGTATGAGTGGGACACCGTTACCRCACGGTTACCGCACAGTTACCGCACCTGKCCTGCACAATTTTGGTGAACCAATGGGGCACTAGAATTTGGTTACAGTACGATTACGGTCACAGTACAGTACCGTCCGTTTCCCACTCATACGAAATCCGCTCTATATACACGTACACTCACCGAATATTTTAGTGTTTCTTGGACAAGCTCATAGTCCATGTCAGCGTAATAAATGTGTAGCTCTAAAAGGTTGTCACTGCGAATTATGAAAAAATGGTATAATTTAGTGTTATTGTTCATTCAACTTCAAATTTGATAGTGTAATGAAATTGTAGATAGACGCGCTTGCAAACTGATTCCTTTTGAGCTTAGCGCGCCTTTCTTGTCTTCGCTCTTGTTGGAACCAGAATCAAAATGTAGATATTTCTAACACGTTTTTCGCTATTCTCTTTCTGTATTTTGCAGTTTTATTTCTAAGTACCTTATTTCTTGTGTATTTTTCATCGATATGTTTGCAATACTCTTTAATGACTCTAGGAATTCATTCTGTTGAGATTCAGGACATAAATCATGATGATACGGTAAATAAATTATCAAAATAGTTACAGTAAAATCTATATTCCTTAATTTCAGTTACAACCAGTCGACAATAAACTGCAGCCGTGTAACCGAATACACAGAGTTAATTGTTGCATATTTCTTCTTAGGCACAAGCCTGATTTATATATCTTTTTGCTCCGAGTGACGTTCTTAAAACAGATTTTCACCTGTGAGTGTAGCTAATTGAAAGGTACGAAGGAATCCGAACGCAAAGTGTTTATTTGTTACATTCCTTTTCTTCGCTGTTTTCTTAGTTTTCTCTTTTTTCCACTTTTAAAGTGCCTTGGACTTCAAAAGGATACCTTAGCAAAGAGCACATAAAGAAACAGTTTTTCGTTCGTCTTTTTTTCGTTCTCCATGATCACTTTTTGCTTCACATAAATCTTGCGCTATATGTCTTATTTTTAGCTGTCTCTATTGAAAATTTCCTGAAATTCATGTGGCGTATACGTATATACCTTATAATTGTTGGCGGGCCATTTATACGTTGATACTGTCCTTGAAAAATCAGTGTCTCTAAAGAGATATTTTAATACTTTTAATAATTTCTCGATACTATAGTATAGTTTCTTGGGGTATATCAACTTTCCACGGTTGATACCATCTCACACCGTCAAAATTTTTGTTTATCGACTCGCCTTTGTCTCGTGGATGAACAACTGTTTTGGTTAAATAAGAGGACATACCACGAGAAGCTATCATAAATTTGTACAAATTTACAAAATGCCGCGTACATATACCGTTCGGACAAGCTGTCCCGATAGACTAACAACCATACTTACGTGCAATGAGGAGGGCACTGGTTTTCGCACACACCATTTACAAAATCATCTTTAACTTTATCAATACAGTCTCCTGAGAAAAAAATACATTTTAAGGGCTGGTTCACTACTACATAACCAGAAATAGTAAGGTTAGTGTTTCTTGTGAATTTGGGGAAGCTCAACAAAATCATAAAAAATATGAAAACTTTGACACCCTTATAGTTCTAACTATGATCAAAAATCATACAGTGAGAAACGACGGAACAAGCAGATTGCCATGCTTATGCCAATTCAGGGAACTATTGTAGCTTATGGTTATGTTTCAATTATAGAGGTTTCACAAAAAAAAAACCCTTTTTCGTGGCACTGTAATTGAACTTCTACAATACTCCATTTTCGAATTCAAAGCGAATAACCACTGTTTTATTTGACAACAGATTCTATTACGCAAAGAACTTACCAAACACAAAAGAAAGCACGAGAAACTGTTGTAAGTACAATAGCGCTGACAATTTACGTTTTAGCCGATCGAGTTGAGGCTAACCCTGTATTCCCAGAAGGCTCATACCTTAGGTCTTATGGGAATACAGGGTTAGTCTCAACTTGGGGAAAATGCAAATTTTCAAGGCTATTGTAATAACGACATTTTTTCGTGCTCTCTTTTGTGTTTAGTCAGGTCTTTGCGCAAGAGAATCTGTTGTCAAATAAAGCAGCGGTTTTTCGCTATGAATTCGAAACTGGAGTATTTGTTTTGATTTTTTGTACTCCGTTTAGAATGACCTTTACTTAGAAAAAACTAATATAAATAAAATACAATCCAACTTGCGACAGAAAATCAAACAGTAGTTGAAAGTCTGGTTAGCATATCGTCCTCACCGTGTTCATTTATGTATGTTATTTTTGTTACAATACATATCAAATAATTGTATGTCATTCGTGCGGGATCCCTGTGCTTTTTAGTTTTGAACTTCCTTTAGCAAATCTATGCCATATATGGAAACAAACAAAATGGCCGATTGCTGAAAAGTGTTTCGCTATAATATCTGCAAGTTTCAGACGATTTCATGCTTTAAAAGTCGAGAAAATTGCCAAAAACCAGTCTTATCGTACTACCAAATAAGGTAAGATTACCATATATGGCTGCCAAACGAAGAACAACTTTTCTGGGGCAATTCTTTGATGTGCAAAATTTCACGACCTTTGAGCAATCAATCGTCCTTAGTTGCTTTTCCCATTGTTTTTGCAAGAGCCCTCTTCCCTGCGAGCTCCAAGAAAGCTGAATAAAGGACCTGAGTGAAGTGTTATCGATTTTTCAACTTACTAACTGATGCGTTCAATGACTTGCAGTATCCAGTGGTTGGATCATCAGTGTAATGAAACTGGGAACATTTGCAGCGGTTCTTTTGCATGTTTGACAGACATGACATTCGACAAGCCTGTAAAGGAGTTAAAGTCAATGACGCAGCTTGCAACGAAGGTAGAAAAAAGTGTAAAGTTTATAGTGCCTTAATTCTATAATGGCCATGGTAACTTGTCACGTTACCTACAGGGGCTAATTGTATAATAGCTTAACATAGCTGAGAAATTCATGCGCTGGACAACTATTATCCAGATAAAAAACTTTTGCCAAGTCTGCTTAAACCCACGAAGCTTTAGGGGCAGACGTACACAAAGATGGCAGAGTTGGCGTGTACCGAACTATTAGGGATCCACAATCCATTAATTATGCTCAGAGTCCCTCAGTAGCGTTCAGTAGTCCCTCAATAAATATTGTAAATTTTAATCTGGTTTCTATTCTCCTTACCATTTTGGAGTACGTCATGTTGTACTGGTGATATATGTTTGTCGGTTCCAGACTTTCCGTTCTCTTACAGCTGTTATTCTTGAAAGGATCCAATCGTTTGGCTTGTTTCTTTCGAGCAAAATGCAGATACTCTGATCAATACTCTATAAGTGGGACTGTATTCTAGGTGTACTGGGGGGCCTTGAAGCTAAGTCTCCTAAAAATGGGCTAATTTATCACGCAAATTCGCCTAAACTCAATCAAATTCTTCTTAATTTATCTTGTGATCTTTAGACTTTTCGTCTTAAAAACTGAAATAAATTGCTGGATATTTGCCCAAATCCGTCGGCRACTTTAGGTCCACTTGATGGTGAACCGACGATCTTGCAAATTKATTGCCAATTGTAACTCTTCATCTTACCATGACAACCTCTATATTTGTGGATAACCCAGGACCAACATTGATTCCTTCGCTTAGGGGAAAAGGCATTTGTCCTTGAGGTCCAATGACAACCTTTAGACCAGCATAGGGTGATATGCCGTATATGTACTCAGACTGTTCAATGTTGATAAGAAGCCGTAGACCTGCGGGACAGAAGATTTCTCTATCAAATATTATGAATGGAAAGATAGAAGATGTTTCATCACTGAAAGACGCGTTACCGCGATGTCAATGCAGCAGCTTCGTCTCTGGGGCAAAAAACTTCCAGGACGAGTTATGCACTTCAGTGTACAATAGATCTTGACATGTACAGATTTCTTCATAGTTCTTTTCATGAAGTATTAGCACTGGAAAGATGCTAATATGCGAAGAATATTTTGTTCTATTGAATTCAATACTTGCAACCGGAGTTACAAGATGATTGAAGGCTTCTGGGSCTTCTAAATAAGATTCAGTCCCACTTMTTCAGATTCCGATTCCCTTCCTTCCATTCAGTTTTTTTCCGTTTCAAAGAGAAAAATAAAATAGCATTACCATATTGATCTCCTGTGAGAAAGGTCTTATGGGGTACACTATTGTAGCTTATGGTTATGTTTCAATTATAGAGGTTTCACAAAAAAAAACCCTTTTTCGTGGCACTGTAATTGAACTTCTACAATTTGTTTTGATTTTTTGTRCTCYGTTTAGAATGACCTTTWCTTAGAAAAAACTAATATAAATAAAATACAATCCAACTTGCGACAGAAAATCAAACAGTAGTTGAAAGTCTGGTTAGCATATCGTCCTCACCGTGTTCATTTATGTATGTTATTTTTGTTACAATACATATCAAATAATTGTATGTCATTCGTGCGGGATCCCTGTGCWTTTTAGTTTTGAACTTCCTTTAGCAAATCTATGCCATATATGGAAACAAACAAAATGGCCGATTGTTGAAAAGTGTTTCGCTATAATATCTGCAAGTTTCAGAAGATTTCATGCTTGTTAAAAAAGTCGAGAAAATTGCCAAAAACCAGTCTTATCGTACTTCCAAATAAGGTAAGATTACCAAACGAAGGACAACTTTTCTGGGGCAATTCTTTGATGTGCAAAATTTCACGACCTTTGAGCAATCAATCGTCCTTAGTTGCTTTTCTCATTGTTTTTGCAAGAGCCCTCTTCCTTGCGAGCTCCAAGAAAGCTGAATAAAGGACCTGAGTGARGTKTTATCGATTTTTCAACTTACTAACTGATGCGTTCAATGACTTGCAGTATCCAGTGGTTGGATCATCAGTGTAATGAAACTGGGAACATTTGCAGCGGTTCTTTTGCATGTTCGACAGACATGACATTCTACAAGCCTGTAAAGGAGTTAAAGTCAATGACGCAGCTTGCAACGTAGGTAGAAAAAAGTGTAAAGTAAATAGACTTTTTTTAATGGCGCTGGTAGCTTGTCACGTTACGTATACTGGGGCGGGTATAATAGCATAATATAGCTGAGGAAATATTCATGCGCTGGACAACTATTATCCAGATAAAAAACTTTTGCCAAGTCTGCTTAAACCCACGAAGCTTTAGGGGCAGACGTACACAAAGATGGCAGAGTTGGCGTGTACCGAACTATTAGGGATCCACAATCCATTAATTATGCTCAGAGTCCCTCAGTAGCGTTCAGTAGTCCCTCAATAAATATTGTAAATTTTAATCTGGTTTCTATTCTCCTTACCATTTTGGAGTACGTCATGTTGTACTGGTGATATATGTTTGTCGGTTCCAGACTTTCCGTTCTCTTACAGCTGTTATTCTTGAAAGGATCCAATCGTTTGGCTTGTTTCTTTCGAGCAAAATGCAGATACTCTGATCAATACTCTATAAGTGGGACTGTATTCTAGGTGTACTGGGGGGCCTTGAAGCTAAGTCTCCTAAAAATGGGCTAATTTATCACGCAAATTCGCCTAAACTCAATCAAATTCTTCTTAATTTATCTTGTGATCTTTAGACTTTTCGTCTTAAAAACTGAAATAAATTGCTGGATATTTGCCCAAATCCGTCGGCRACTTTAGGTCCACTTGATGGTGAACCGACGATCTTGCAAATTKATTGCCAATTGTAACTCTTCATCTTACCATGACAACCTCTATATTTGTGGATAACCCAGGACCAACATTGATTCCTTCGCTTAGGGGAAAAGGCATTTGTCCTTGAGGTCCAATGACAACCTTTAGACCAGCATAGGGTGATATGCCGTATATGTACTCAGACTGTTCAATGTTGATAAGAAGCCGTAGACCTGCGGGACAGAAGATTTCTCTATCAAATATTATGAATGGAAAGATAGAAGATGTTTCATCACTGAAAGACGCGTTACCGCGATGTCAATGCAGCAGCTTCGTCTCTGGGGCAAAAAACTTCCAGGACGAGTTATGCACTTCAGTGTACAATAGATCTTGACATGTACAGATTTCTTCATAGTTCTTTTCATGAAGTATTAGCACTGGAAAGATGCTAATATGCGAAGAATATTTTGTTCTATTGAATTCAATACTTGCAACCGGAGTTACAAGATGATTGAAGGCTTCTGGGSCTTCTAAATAAGATTCAGTCCCACTTMTTCAGATTCCGATTCCCTTCCTTCCATTCAGTTTTTTTCCGTTTCAAAGAGAAAAATAAAATAGCATTACCATATTGATCTCCTGTGAGAAAGGTCTTRTGGGGTACACTATCGTCTCCGGGAAGAACACGATTGAACATGTAACAGTTCCCAACAGGGTCAATCCAGAGATGACGCCATTGATGTTTTAGCTTCTTTTCTTCCCTTTGAATATTAAAATAAAGACATAAATCAAAGTTAGGTAGTCTTGTATTGATTGCATATCAGACAGCCTTAATCCATGGCCCACAAGAATTCGCTTACAAAAGATATAAATAGACCGTTGTGTACTGGATAGGCCCTCTTTCCCTCTACGATGGTGAGCTGGGAAATTCTGTGACTTTGACATTGACTAAGGCATCATTATGGATTGCTGCGAATTCTGAATGATTCTTTTTTCTTTTCGAATTTTCAATAAAATAATTATGAATATACACTGGAAAAAATCGCGCGCTTGAAAGGTTGTAAATTTGATGTAAATATGATGTAAGTGACCAAAATTCTGTAAATTTGATGTAAATGATTTCCATTAAATTTACAGAATTTTGGACAATTACATCATATTTACATCAAATTTACAACCTTTAAATCGCGCGATGTTTTCCAGTGATTATATGGTCTTGATTGACTCTATGCATAAGCAAGAGCTTGCGCTATCATATCAGAGTCCAACAAACATTGATGCACGATTGTGCAAAGGATGGCTATTTGATTGTTAACCACTGTTAGCCAATCACAAACGAGCATTAAACCTAGTCACTACTAACTACGTGTTGATCTGTCATATAAATGTAGCTAAATACCTGCAATCTTCACCGGCAAAAACGCAATCTATTACCATATCTTTAAACTGGTGGCCCATYTCTCGTAATGTCTTACTCTTCGTATCGCTGACCATATGTCTTAAGGCTTCAAGCCTGTCATGCATAAAATGAAGCAGCTCTGAATCTGTATCGTGTTGAAGTATGTTCCTTCTATTATGGGTGTAGTTCTTCCAGTGTTCTAAAACAGATGTTGCATTTACATGTATTATCACTGTCATATTTCGTAGTGTTAAGCAACTGGTATCTTGTAGTGACAGACCTGACTATCACAAGGTCTCACAATCCGCATCCACACTGGATACTTTGGTATAAGCTTTGTTTTGAAAAGAAATGCTTGGTTCTCTCTGGCCTTTTTAAGACTGCTAAATTCCCTTCCAGGGCTAGAAATGGACTGGAATACGCGCTGAAAGTTGTTTAAAGACTTGCTCATACTCTGAACGAAACGAGTTATATGGTATTCTGTTATTCGTCTTAAGACAAAGATATCGCCCTAAGGCTAAATGAATTAGTTTTCCCATACATATCATCCCCCTATAAACAGGATTACCTGAAGTTATGTTCCGAATTTTCTCAACATCTGATTTCATCTTTTTGGTCAGTTTACTCTGGCGTAACATGTTGCGATTACATATTGTCACTACTGGAAAGTCGAGCACCTGATAACAATAAAAAACAACTATATCATTTGATAATCGACTCCTGATATTTGCTCGCTTTATAACTTATGGGGCTGGGAATTTGAAAAAAAAAAATTCCAGCAAGACAAAATTTTGAAAAATCTCCACTGAGGTTTTTGTAAATTTACAAAAAATAATGCAAGCGCGCACCTGAAGTCGAAAAAAAAATATTCYTGTACCAACTAGACCTTCCATCCCCCCTTAAAAGTCAAATTGATCACCCCTTAGCAAAATTAAAGATGACTTCATCATTATCCAGCCCATTCTACCTATAGACCAACTTACCTTATTTCTCTCCATTGAAACTTTTGTAGCAATTGGTTTATTCATGTAGTCTCGAAGAATCACAAAGAAGTGATACCAAAATGTTATATGAATAGAAATTATTGCAACTACCCAGAATGTTTTCCAGTAGATTTCTTTTGAAGCGGCCAGCCTTCCGAAACCATGCGCAGTACTATATTCTAGRAAATCTTTCAGAACAGTTTTTAATGACCGATGTTCTTTGTGGTCAGTGGTTTTGGAAGGATCAACATCAGTCGATGAATCCATAGCTTGCTGA